GTCTTTTCTGTCTTTGACAATTTGGGTCGATAAAGAAGCAGCTGACAGGATGTTTCGATAGAGATTATTAAGGGAGCAATCTAAAAACATCCTCAGCCTCCTACTCCCATCTAAACAGTAATTCCTAACTCGTGTTTCAATATAACACTGACAAAACTGTTTTGGAGACCTAAGGTACTGCTTGAAATACTCAAAATTTTCCTGTTCTGCCAGGTATCTCAGGATGCAAATTTCCAGATTGGCTCTGCTGCCCTGGAAATCTCGGAATTGGCCCTGCATGTCCTCAGCGATGTCCTTAGCCGTCCTCTTAAAGACTGCCTGAAGAAGAGCTGGTTCAATCTTGTCACAAAGGAAAGTAGCAAAAGTTGTGCCAGAAGTGGCTCCTTGGCAGGAAATCTGGAAACATAGGAAGAAATCTTCTCTCTTGCTGCTCAGGTACGCGACTGGGTCATTTGCCTTTCGGAATGCTTCGTGCATGGCTTTAAACCTTCCTGCTGCTATTTTGCACAGGTACAGAGACAAATCTATGCTGTACTCTCTGTTAAATGTACATTTTGCACTGCTGGGGACAGAGTTCACACCTTTCTGTACTTCATTGAGTATTTCATGAATAAAATTTCTACTGTAATCCTGTTTCTCCTGTTCCTTCTTAGCAATGTTTGCCATCACACACGCTATGATGTTGTCTGTGATGTGATGAAAGTTGATATCATCAGTATTGAATAAGCGCATGACACCTTGGAAAAGTCCACTCTTTTTCTTCATGGTGTGCTTCTCTGGATCAAAAGAAAACCCTCTGCCTCTGGGAAATGATGTGATCCGTGCATGGAAACCCGGCTCCTTAAAGTGCTCCACAAGGACATCTTCGATTTCTGCATCAATATCCACCCGCTCTGGAGGACGAGCAGCACTGGAGACTTCAGCAATCCACTTATTCCAGACAACAGTAAAGTTGTCCTTCAGTTCTCCCTCACTGAGGCTCTTCCCTTTCAGACGCCCAGCCAGATCCCGACTCTTTCTCAGGAGCTCATCTTCATATTGCAACTTCCTTGCATCCAGTTTCCTCTGCTCCTTCTGTAGCTCAATAAGATTCTCACATTTCTTTTTGGTTTCATGAAGAAGAGTCTCTTTCAGTTCTTTCAGCTTCAGCTCTGTGCTTGATTTCCACTGGATCAGTGTCTCACGGTCTTTGTCTTCCCTGAAATACTTTTCCACTTCTTTCTCAATGGCATCACTTGTCTCTCGCACCAGCCCTTCAAGGTGCTCTCTGGTGACATTCTGCCTGTCCCCATTCCGAATTTTGTTGTCCAGTCTCATTTGTACATCTAAGATGTGACTCCTCAGCCTCCATGTCCACTGACTAAAGGCACTTTCCAGTTTCCTGTACACAGCGATCTCCAGGGAATTCTTGAAGCTGAAAACAAAGTTTTCATTCAGCAAAGCATTCCAGAGGTCACCAATACGATCTTTCAGGCTTGAGAGCCTCAAAATGCTGCACTGAGACTGATTCTTGGCAGCCTGGAGGATTTTGCTCTTGAGTTGCTGGACGTTCTGGCTGTAGGTGGGGTTGGGTGGTGCCATTGGGGGGTTTCCTTCCCACAGGTGAGCAAAGTAGTGAATGTGGGTGTTCACATCAAAGGCAATGACATCGCTGAAGGAGGAGACGTCACAGAATTCCTGCTGAGCAGCTACCACGGTCATTTCATCCAACTTTTCCTGCAAGCGCCTTTGTCCTTCCATGTTCTGCTCCTTGGCAGTTGCTTCTCCCACGTTTTGGTGGACAAAGACACAGCTTGGGGAAAGATTGACTTTCTTCATCCTCAGGAAAGCCTGCACAGCGATCTGGAGAACATCTTGCATTTCGGATGGATTTTCTCCAAAGATATTGATCACAGTCACGTTGCCAACACCAATGACAAAGGTGGCCAGCTCGTTGTCATGGTTCAGGGACTGTTTGTTGGCCATCTCGATGGCACGAAGCCCCTCTGTGTCAACCACCAGCACAAAATCAAAGCCCAAGTCTTGCTGCAGCTCCTCGCCCACTGGGATGAGCTGCATGAAGGCTCCGCGGGTGCATCTCCCTGCGCTGACGCTGAACTGCAGACCAAACATGGCATTCAGCAGGGTGGACTTGCCTGTGCTCTGGATGCCGAGCACGGAGAGCACAAACACTCGTTTGTCCCCCAGCCTCTCAATTAAGCTGTCAAAGATTGCTCCCACCCAGCGCAAGGGCAGGTAAGAAGCGTCCCCATCCATCAGCTCCACAGGATATCCTAAATCCATCAGCTCTGCTGCAATTTCCGGCAGTTTGACAAAATTGTCTTTCTTACAGCTTATTAATTCCAGAGCTTCATAAATTTGCCCTACCTCTCTCAGAAGGTGCTCCAGGCCAATGGATGAATCATTGATTTCATCAGAGAGGGCATCCAAGCGACTCACCAATGCATCATTGCCACTGGGTTTTTTCTCGCTTTTTTTTCTTGAGAGGATTTCAGACCATAACTCGTGATAGTCTCTCCTCAGTTCTTCAAGGCTACCACAGGACAGCTCGTCGATAAAGATCTTCATCCACTGCAGGAAGTATTTCTTGGTATCTGTTGGCTGGGCCTGGAGAAAGCCAAGGAATGATTTCATCAGTGTTTTGAGAGGGAAAGCCTGCTGCAGTTGCTTTTCTCTTATTGCTTTCTTCTCATTTTCAATTTGGCTGCGATGATGCTCAATGCTCTTGTTCCTCTTCTCCTGCAAGCGAGTGAGTTCTTTGTCCCTTTGGCACCACTGGTACCACAGTTTTCCTTGAAGTGGCAGCAGCCGGGATTTGATCTCAGACAGCTTCTCTTTCTTCAGAAGCTCCACCAGCTCCTTTGCCTTTGCTTTGCCTGTCACACACGCGGGTTGATCTGCATCCACT